TGGGTGAGGGAGCGTAGGATGGAGGAGGAAGGAGACCGGAGGAGTTGTGTGGGGACAGGGTCAAGGGGGCAAGTGGTGAGGCGGGCTTCTGAGAAGGCCTTAGTGACCTCTTCAATGGTAGCAAGGCTGAAGGAGTGGAGTGCCACGGAGGTTATAGTGTGCGGGATGTTAGGTGTGGTGGGGGGTAGGGCGGTTGCGAGGTCAGAGGAGGGGAGAGTTATTACACAGTATTTATAAAGCGCCAATAGTTCGCTCAGCGCTGTACATTACAAAGGGGGACAGAACATGTGACAGAACAATACCAATACAATGCAAAACATGAGGGGATCAAGGGCCCTGCTCTTTCAAGCTTACAATCTAGGAGATTGAGGGGGTTATCGTGGGAGGGAGGCTAGGTGGGGAGGTAGATTGAGCATTGTTGATGTCTTTACAGATTGCGTCAATCTTGTTTTGGAAGTGGTTGGCAATCTCATGGGCGGTGAGTGAGGTACTGGCTGGAGGTGGGGGGGGGGGGGGAGAGAGTAGGGAGTTGAAAGTGGAGAAGAGCCGGTGAGGACAGGTGGAGAGGGTATTGATGAGGGTTACGAAGTTGGCTTGTTTGGCGGCGTGGAGGGAGGAGGTGTAGGTGAGGAAGGCGGATTTGTAAAGGGTGAACGCTTGAGGGGATCTGGTTTTGCTCCATAATCGCTGCAGCGCGCGACTGCGTCATTTAAGATTTTTGCTGTGGTCGTTCTGCCAGGGTTGAAGCGGTCGGGGTCTAATGCTGCGTGTGGTTAGCGGTGCTAAGGAGTCTAAGGCACCTGACAGCGAGTTGTTATACGCAGTAGTGGCCAGGTCAGGGCAGGACAGTGGAAGAATACTGTCGTAAAGACGGTCAGCTACAGAGTGGAGAGGGGCCGGGTTCAGGTTGCGGAGGTTACGGCTAGTGAACATGTTACTAAGTGTACACTAAGTGTACTAAAACATGTTTGTGTCTCTTTACATTTGTATGGATCAGGGGCAGCTTGGCTTGTGATTGGACAGGCAGCCTCTGATCTCATAGGATCAAATGGAATGTTGAAGATTCAAGGCATTTTGCCAGCCAGGTGATACCGCCACCAATGTCATGAGCTTTAGGTGGGCAATGCAGTAAGATTTTTTATATTTATTATTTATTATTATTACACAGCATTTATATAGCGCCAACAGTTTGCTCAGCGCTGTACATTACAATAGGAGACAATACACGAGACAGTACAGTATTAATACAATAAAATACATGAGGGGTTCGAGGGCCCTGCTCCTTGGAGCTTACAATCTAAGAGGGAGGGGAGAGTGGTACAGGAGGAAATAGCTGTGGGGGATGGAGTGGTGGGGAGAGCGGAGGAGATCAGCAGTTAGGTGAGGGCGGGGTAGGCTTCTCTGAAGAGATGAGTTTTCAGGGTGAGCCTAAAGGTGAGGAGGGTAGGTGACAGTCTGATGGATTGGGGTAGTGAGTTCCAGAGGATGGGGGAAGCGATGGAGAAGTCCTGGAGACATGCATGGGAGGAGGAGACCAGGGAGCTGGAGAGTAGGAGGTCTTGTGAGGAGCGGAGAGTGCGTTTTGGGTGGTAGATGGATATCAGGTCAGTGATGTAGTTTGGGGCAGTGTTATGAACAGCTTTGTACGTCAATGTTAGTATTTTGAATTTTATGCGTTGGGCAATCGGAAGCCAGTGCAGGGATTGGCAGAGGGGGTGGCGGATACGGAGCGGTTGGTAAGGTGGATGAGTCTGGCCGCAGAACGTGGGATAGATTGAAGCGGGGATAGCCTGTTTTAAGGTAGGCCAGCGAGGAGGGAGTTACAGTAGTCAAGTCGTGATATGATAAGCGAGTGAATGAGTTGCTTTGTAGTTTCTGGGGTTAGGAACGTGCGTATATTGGAGATGTTGCGGAGGTGGAGTCTGCATGAATTTGTTAGCGATTGGATCTGGGGCTGGAAAGACAGATTGTAATCTAGAATGACAGCTAGTACTCTGGCTTGCGGGGTGGGGCTGATGGTGGCGTTGTTGGTCGTGATGGAGAGGTCGGGGGGGGGGGGGTGGCGCGGGCTGGGGGGAAAACTAGGAGCTCGGTTTTGGCAAGGTTTAATTTGAGGAAGTGGAGTGAGACATCCAGTGTGATATGTCGTTCAGAAGGCTAGTGATTAGAGCGGAGACTGAAGGGATGAGGCGAGGGGTAGAGAGATAGATTTGAGTGTCATCGGGATAGAGATGGTAGTTGAAGCCCTGGGAGTGTATCAGTTGACCAAGGGAGGAGTTGTAGATGAAGAAGAGAAGGGGCCCGAGGACAGAACCTTGGGGGACCCCAACAGAGAGGGGGAGTGAGGGGGAGGTGGCAGCATTACAGTTGTGATAGATAGGAAGAGAGCCAGGAGAGAGCGGAATCTCTGAGGCTGAAGCTCCTAGAAACGGTGAGGTGGGAGCTAAGGCGATTATAGGCTAAGCGCTCAAGGAGTTTGGATGAAAATGGCAGTAGGGAGATGGGTCTAAGGTTGTTTGGGTCAGTGGGATCCAGGGAGGGGTTTTTAAGTATGGCAGTGATGTGCGCGTGCTTCAGAGGGGAGGGGAATGTTCCAGTAGAGAGGGAGAGATTAAAGATGTGAGTGAGGGAGCGTAGGATGGAGGAGGAGGGTGATCATAGGAGTTGTGTGGGGACAGGGTCAAGGGGGCAGGTAGTAAGGCGAGCTTCAGAGAAGACCTTAGTGACCTCTTCGGTCGAAGGAGTGGAGTGTTGAGGGGGTTTTAGCGTGAGGAATGTTGGGCGGCGAGTAGGTCTGGACAGTGGCAAGGTCGAGGAGTGTTGAGGGGGTTTTCATGTGAGGGATGCTAGGTGGGGCAAAAGTCTGAGCAGTAGTGATGTCCCTGTGAATTGCGTTGATCTTCCTTTGGAAGTGGTTAGCAATCTCGTGGGCGGTGAGTGAGGTACTGGGTGGAGGTGGGGGCGGAGAGAGCAGGGAGTTGAAGGTGGAAAAGAGTAGCGAGGGCTGGAGGAAAGGGTATTGATGAGGGTTACAGTCCCAGCATTTTTAAAGTAAGATTCACGCCATCAACCCTATTAAACCCAATGTGCATCCCTCCGAAACAGAGGGATGCACATTGATCATCCATTTACATCCATTTTTCCATAGTGATGCATTGATTTCTGTTTTTCATCCATCAACGGATGGATGAAAAACGGACAAATGGTCCGCATGTGTGAAAGGGGCCTTAGTTCTTTGGCCTGGTGCTCTCCTTAAACATGTCACACATGGATCCCAAACTCTGGCTACTCTAGAGCAGCTGGGGGAGTCAATGGTCAGTATGGACATGGGTGTTTGGGTTGATGATAGATTTAATAATAACATGCAATGCCAAGCTGTAGTTTCTAAAGCTAACAAAATACTTTTTTTTTTTTTATAAAAAGAGGTATAGGAAAGGGAGAGAGAGAAGGCAGTGTGGCAGAGGGAGAGGAAGGGAGGGAAAAAGCGGGAGGGAGAGACAGAAAGATGGAGGGAGAGAGAGAGAGAAGGAGGGGGAGAGAGAGACAGATTGCAGGAGGGAGAGAGGGAGGGAGAGAGAGGGAGCAGGGGTGGACTGACCATTTGGGAACTCGGGCACTGCCTGAGGGCCCGGGTCAGTAGGGGGTCCCATGAGATGCTCCTGGTACCTTTTATAGGCTTTTTTGGGTGTGGTTTGAGTTTGGGTGAGGGCACAGGGGCCCCATGATCCCCTATTGCCCAGGCGTTCCATGAGTTGTCAGTCCGCCCCTGAGAGGGAGAGAAAGATAGAGAGGGGGAGATGGAGAGAGATGGAGAAAGAAAGAGGGGGGATTATAACTAAGACCTCATCTGAAATATGTAGTTCGATTTTGGGCACCAGATCACAAAACGGGTATCCGGAAAATGGAGAGGGTGCAGAGAAGGGCAACCAAACTGATAAAAGGCATGGAGGAGCTCAGCTATTTGGAAAAATTAGATGAATACATAAGTGGTTCATATAGTGAACTTGGTGTAGATTTAGTCACTTTCAGGTCAGGAGGAAAAAAGATTTAAAGTGGAACTTTACCCATAACAACGTGATAAAAAATATTGGGGTCAATTCACTAAGAGATAAATACTGCATGAATGTTTTAGTTCATCTCAAAAGTAGTCAATTCAATCAACAATATGAATTATTTACCGAATGCATTAAACATTTAAGTTTTGCTATATTACTTACATTTTTTTGTTATTTTTGGCGTGTTTTCACTTTTTTTTACATGCTAAGGCTCCATGCACACTAGCATTTTTGTAAGCTCCTAGAAACTGTTATCAGCATATTTTTTTTCTGCTCCTAGAAGCTACAGTATATATTGTTATCGTATGTGTCCATGCACACTGCTTTAGGCTGTTAGCATTTTTTGAGCTTCAGCATCTATGAGCAGAAAAACAATTGTTTTTGTAAAGTGTTTTGGAGCATTCTTCCAGCAGAACTAAAATGCTAAACACTGCTAAATGCTATTAAAACGCTCCCAACAGTTTTTTTCTAGCTTTTTTTTCCTCTACATGTACTGTAAAAACGCTGATAAAACACTAACCCTTCTAGATGCTCATAAACACTTCTGAATGCTACTAAAACGCTACTAAAAAACGCTATTACTAGCGTTTTTTATCCATCCTTTTACCCAGCGTTTTTTAACTTAAAAGAAAACGCTAGTGTGCATGGAGCCTAACACTGCACCAGAGGAAGATACTTCTTTTTTATTTGTTTACAAACGGTTTTATTGTATATGAGTAGACTGGAAAACAACATTTTCAAGTGATACTTTCAGCAAAAACAAGGCACTTTTGAAAAGTACAATACAGAAAAGTATATTAACATAAAAAAGAGAAAAAATAGAAAAGAGTAAATTACAAGTACATGAAATACGTAAATGATAAGGTAAGCTGAGTGATACATCTGTCAACAGTATATGTCAATCAACTTTCACTGAGAATGTTGTTAATCATGCAATAAATGTCTACAATCTCTCCATGACTCCCATTTTGTATCATATAAGTGCATCTTATTCAGTAGGGTATAATGAATGCGTTCCATGAGCATTACGGCATAAATTCTGTGTAAAATGGAGGCTAAGGGTACAGCTTTGGACCTCCAATGTAAGGCAATAGACCATAAAGTGGCAATACATATAGTATGTATCAATCTCAGATTGGCATCAGAGACCCCTGGGATATGGGCCCCCATTAGACAGGTCTGTATGGACAATCATATTGGGTTACCCGACAGTGAGGTAGCCACCTCAGATATCTTTCACCAAATCAAAGATATGGTCGGGCAATCCCAGAATATATGAACCAAAGTACCTGTGAGTAATCAAAGATCCTCCTGCGCTGTAAATGGTGAAAAAGACCAACTTAAAGCTGCCAACACTCCCCTGCTGATACCTAGTACAGTGTATACTCCATAAATAAATAAATAGTGCGGCGCTCTAAATAAATAAAAATAAATATAGATAAAAAACAATATGTGACCAAATAAATATGTGACCAATTCATATAGTGAAATCCCTGAAATATTTCCAACCCAAATGACACAAAATGAATAATTAGCTACCTATCATCTATACCTCAAGTGATCTTTAAATACAATTGATCTAGTGTCTACAAATCATGTTTGTACATAAAAGACATTACATAAAGTGACCATGTATAAATATATCCTATACAAAGTGAACAAAGTGCTAAAGTGCCAAAAAAAGTGCAAAAAACATATATTTCAATTCATAAATAATCCATAAAACACACAGTCCATCAGGTGATAAATATAATCATGCGATGTGTGGTGATAGAAAATTGGTGCTTTGTGCCAAACTCCTCTCCTACAGGTGGCTAAATTGCCTCCTCACCTCCTGCCGGTGACCCTAAGGGCCAGCAGGCTTGCAGGATCACCCTGGATCCTTAATCCACAAAAGACCAGCAGCTTTTCTCCTTCTTTAAATCCCTTTTGTGAGACTCCTGTTTCTCTCACTCAGCCAAGATGTTTCTAGAGAACAATGGCTCACCAGTCCAGTGAGCCAAGAAAGAAAATGCCCTCTAAGTGCAGTAATTAATGACTCCTTTATTTGAAAGTATAGAGTGACAACACTCACATTTTCTGACAGTCCACCCTCCTCACCGATGTGTGGGTGTACTTCATGTGAAATGGGACTTCCTGGGTGCAGCAAGATGGCGTCGTACGCCGGAAGTGCGTCACCGCGCACCGGAAACTGCGGACTCGCGAACCTACGCGTTACGTCACTGTCTGCTCGTGACTTCCTTGGGGTATCGCATGACAGGCACAGTTCCTCCCTTTATACCTAACTAATCAGTTGCGGCCCGCCTTGTGAACACCCGGCGGTGACCGCGCCATTTTCTCGAAGCCTTCCCTTTCTCTTAACCGCGGCCATTTTCTTAGTGTCCTGCTATAGCGTTAATGCCTCATATCACTCAATAGGAACACTTTTAAAATACATTATATAAAAAAATCAATATTATACGACCTAAAAAACCTTGGAGTCCTTAATAATAGTATGATAAAATGAAAAAAAATCTTTAATGCATCACCTTAATCTAACACTAAAAACTATAAAAAATAAAAATGTGGAGTAAAAATATATTTTTAATATTAAATTGGAATAAAGTTAGAATTAAAATTAAAAATAGGGAATATATTTAGGGGGATATCCCTATAAAACCGACACTCAAAAAATACTAAGATGTTGTAAAACACTCCCTTCATCATGTAGTCTACCCACACATTTACAAATTATAATCCTATTAAAAAGTCAATAAAAAATAATCATTATTACATAATTAACCTGATCATAAATATATTAAAAAACTTTGATTTCATCAATATAAAAATCTTCAATATGAGAACCCACAGTCTAAAGGTTGAATACTCATATGATAAACACTAAGTATACCTCCCATCCATATCTGTTAACAATATTTGTAAAAATCCCAAAGAATATAATGAATATGCCCTCAAAAATCACTGATGAAACTATTTAAGTCAAATTCAACATTTAACCCTTTAGGGTCACAATATAGGAAACTAGGGCACTTGATGGAGAAGAAAGTGTCAGTATGGTGGGACATAATTACACACGAAAAATACCTCAAGGATAAACTAGTGCCTAGGAGATTAAGGTGGGATGTACCCATCTGTGATGGATTAACTGACCAAGAAGGGATTGAAGAATGGTTCAATTTTTTCCATGAAAAGGGGTTGGAACTAGTTATGTTCCTCCTAAAAAGAAAACAGAAGAAATTGAGGAATTTGGAAAAACAGATTGGAGAAATAAAAGATAAAATTGAACCATTAAAAGATACCATAGAGATGCAAAATTTGACCAAACGTTTGAATAAGGATTTGGATAAGGTTGATCAGGAGATCAAATATAGGAAGTCAAAAAAATATCAACATGACCTTAATGATATGAAGAAAAACCAAATCTTTAAGTGGCAATCTTCCTTAAATGAAGTAGAGACAGCCTCCACAAATACGACTCTGGTTAAAAGTAAAGAGGAAAGGGACAGAAATAATGCACCTATTAATAAGGAAAACTCTAGAGGACACAATCAGACAGGCAACAATTACCATTCACAAACACATCGTACACCTAAGAATGGATGGAAACCTAAAAATGGGAATATGGGATATAGGAAACCTCAAGGGAAGGGCCCACCATTTAATCAGAGACCTTATTTTCAAAATTATAGGTCAAACTACTATCCAGTACCTAACCAGTATCCCCCTCCCAGACCTTATTACCCTAGGATGCCCAATGTTAATATGTATGAGAGGCAGTACCCAGATGGGAGGTGGGATTACCAGAGACCAGAAGAGAGGAGCCCCATCCCAATATATAATAGGTTTGACCCACTGAGGCCAGATTATCCTCAGGGTGATTTTTTAGAGAGGGATCTAGGGGGGAGGAGCCCTCCGAGAGAAGGATGGAGAAGCCCAGGAAGAGGAAGGGATGCAGGGCAGGCTACCAAAAACAAAAGAAAAAGAGAATAGTAGGGGAAGGGGTATTTAATGTGAGTGGAATAACCTTATCTAAGGAAGAATTGTTGGTCCTAGATAAGGGTCTTAAATATGCCCCCCCTGCACCTGCAAATAAATTTTATATTTATATTGACACTCAGAAATTTATTAGGAAACTCAATATTAAAAAATACTTTTTAGGACAACCAGGGGCCAAGAATCTTTTAAGTAATGCCCCGTAGTAAAAATTACCCACACGAATTTTAAAAATAAATCACTTTTTAACCCACAGATTTCAAAAACAGTCAAATTGATGCTTTTAAAAAAATGGTTATTAATGATCTGGATAAATTGGTTATCCCAAAGACTAATAGAAATATTGGCCTGGAGATAGGCATAAAGAAATTGAGCAAGAGGGATGATTTAGTCATTAGACCAGCGGACAAGGGAGGGGGTATAGTGATCCTGTCTAAAGAGTATTATGAGTGAACTAGCTGCTCAATTGGAGGATGTCCATACTTATCAGCTATTAATAAAAAACAAAAAAAAATTGGAATTATTAGTCAAAAAGGGAGTAGATAAAAATATTTTAAATAAAAAGGAAGCCAGATATCTGGTGCCAGATACATGCCGAGTACCGGTCATATATACCGTTCCCAAAATCCACAAAGATGAAAAAAATCCACCAGGGAGGCCGATAGTAAACGACATACAATCTGTCCTGGCTAGAATGGGACAATACATTGATGAATTTCTGCAACCTGTGGTAAAGCAAATGAAATCATATCTAAGAGACACGAAGCAACTTATACAGATATTGACTGAATTTAAAGGTAGACAAGAGCTCTTTTTGGCCAGTGCGGACGTGTCCTCGTTGTACACTATTATCAGCCATGAGGATGCAATGGAAGCAGTGAGCTGGGGACTCAGGACATATAGTGATTTATCTTGGACCCAGAGGAAATATTTATTAGATTGCCTGGAGTTCTGTCTGAGTCACAATTATTTCTGGCATGACAATAAATACTATAAACAGATAAAAGGAGTTGCGATGGGTGCAAGATATGCACCGAGTGTGGCAAACATTTTTATGGGATATTGGGAGAGTAGGGATTTATACCCAGATTTCCCAGAGGAGTTGAAAGTTTTTAAAAGATATATTGATGATGTGATTGTTATTTGGGAGGGGGATTTGACTACCTTATCAACATTTTTGAACAAACTTAATGATAATAACAAAAATATTAAATTCACGTGGGAGTCTAGTAATAGTGAAATCAATTTTTTGGATCTTAATATTAGGACAAGTAACGGTCTTATCACTACTAGAACTCACTTCAAAACGGTTGACCGCAATGGGTATATCCCTAGGGGGAGTTGTCATTACCCGCCATGGATATTTAATATCCCCAAAGGTCAGTTTGTGAGAATCAGAAGGAACTGTACATATGCTCACGATTATTTTCAACAAGCTGAATTATTAGGATCTAGATTTGTTGAAAAAGGTTATTCGAGAGAAGATATAGAATCTAGAATTAAGGAAGTGGGCAATATGGACAGGGAGAATTTTTTGATGGACAGGTCCAAGGTCAAACAGATAGATTCACAAACTGCGGTCATCTTGGATTTTAATATCCACTTCAAAAAGGTAGAAAGTATATTTAGAAAGTATTGGAATATCCTTAAATTGGATCCGGTTATAGGAGAGTCATTATCAGATGGCCCTAGATTTATTTATAGAAGAGCGCCCACTATTAGGTCAAGGATTGTCAAGAATGTATTGGACCCCCCCACTAACAATCATATCACATTCCTACATGATAAAGGTTGTTTCCCGTGCAGGAATTGTTTTACCTGCATAGCCACCAAACGACAGAATAAACGAAGGAATGATTTTACTGCCACTGTTACAGGCCAGGTATATCAGATTAATGAATTTATATCGTGCAAAACAGAAGGAGTTGTGTACTGCTTAGAGTGTGACTGTGGACTTCAGTACATAGGCAGAACAAAGAGGCCTTTGTGGAAAAGACTTAGAGAGCACGTCCAGAACATTAACAAGGGATTTTCGAAGCATAGTGTCTCCAGACACTTTGCCATGTATCATAATAAAGACCCCAGTACATTGAAATTTTGGGGAATTGAGAAATTTAAGAGGCATTGGAGAGGCACCAATAAAATAAAATCCCTTAGCCAGGCGGAGTCCAGGTGGATTTATCATATGAGAGTACTCAAGCCCCAAAAGGGTTAAATGTTGAATTTGACTTAAATTGTTTCATCAGTGATTTTTGAGGGCATATTCATTATATTCTTTGGGATTTTTACAAATATTGTTAACAGATATGGATGGGAGGTATACTAGTTAGTCATATGAGTATTCAACCTTTATCATATGAGTATTCAAATCAAAGTTTTTTTTTATATTTTATGATCAGATTAATTATGTAATAATGATTATTTTTTATTGACTTTTTTAATTGAATTATAATTTGTAAATGCGTGGGTAGACTACATGATGAAGGGAGTGTTTTACTACATCTTAGTATTTTTTGAGTGTCGGTTTTATAGGGATATCCCCCTGGGTTTTTTTTACTCTCATTTTGAATAGTTTTTAGTGTTAGATTCAGTGATGCATTAAAGATTTTTTTCATTTTATCATACTATTATGAAATCAAGGTTTTTTAGGTTTAATATTGATTTTTTTAATATGTATTTTAAAAGTCCTGTGCCTGTCATGCGATACCCCGAGGAAGTCACGAGAGGAAGTCAGACAGTGACGTAACGCGTAGGTTCGCGAGTCCGCAGTTTCCGGTGCGCGGTGACGCACTTCCGGCGTACGACGCCATCTTGCTGCACCCAGGAAGTCCCATTTCACATGAAGTACACCCACACATCGGTGAGGAGGGTGGACTGTCAGAAAATGTGAGTGTTGTCACTCTATACTTTCAAATAAAGGAGTCATTAATTACTGCACTTAGAGGGCATTTTCTTTCTTGGCTCACTGGACTGGTGAGCCATTGTTCTCTAGAAACATCTTGGCTGAGTGAGAGAAACAGGAGTCTCACAAAAGGGATTTAAAGAAGGAGAAAAGCTGCTGGTCTTTTGTGGATTAAGGATCCAGGGTGATCCTGCAAGCCTGCTGGCCCTTAGGGTCACCGGGAGGAGGTGAGGAGGCAATTTAACCACCTGTAGGAGAGGAGTTTGGCACAAAGCACCAATTTTCTATCACCACACATCGCATGATTATATTTATCACCTGATGGACTGTGTGTTTTATGGATTATTTATGAATTGAAAATATATGTTTTTTGCACTTTTTTTGGCACTTTAGCACTTTGTTCGCTTTGTATAGGATATATTTATACATGGTCACTTTATGTAATGTCTTTTATGTACAAACATGATTTGTAGACACTAGATCAATTGTATTTAAAGATCACTTGAGGTATAGATGATAGGTAGCTAATTATTCATTTTGTGTCATTTGGGTTGGAAATATTTCAGGGATTTCACTATATGAATTGGTCACATATTTATTTGGTCACATATTGTTTTTTATCTATATTTATTTTTATTTATTTAGAGCGCCGCACTATTTATTTATTTATAAAGTACCTGTGAGGCCACAGCCCCGGAAACATAAAGGAGATGTTTGTGGAAACAATACATGTAGTCTTGATGGGGTATAATACCGTCTGGTTAAAACCTTAAGGGCCATCTCACGAACAGAAAGAGATCTATAACTCTTGCATATGTTATCCACCATGGAATCCCAATCCTCATCTGAAAAAGTGATACAACTATCCTCCTCCCATTTTTTCTGTATAAAGGGGGTGTATGAAAAAGGCAGATCAAAAATTGGTGATAAAGATCAGAAATAAGACCCCTACCCCTGGGAGAGTCACGGCTGATACGTTCAAAAAAGGAAATCGGAGAAGATGGCATAAGGCCAAAGTGTGAATTAAAAAAGTGTCTAATCTGTCGGTAACGAAGGTACTCACGAAGAGGAACATCAAATAACACGCGCAGCATATCAAAGGTAATGTAAGATCCTCCTCTTTGAAAATCAGATAATCTGATAAAGGATCGATCATACCACCAACGAAACATTTGAGGGGAAGAAAAAGCTGCAACAAAAGTAGGATCACCAAAAAATGAAACACCTGGCGGAATAAGAGAGACTAGATTCAATTTAGATTTGTATTTGGACCAAAGTGTCAGTGAATGGGTCACTATGGAGTTATGAAAAGTAAGCGAGGAAGATACTTCTGTAAAGAAATGCGCACATAAATATTGTGAAACTCTGAAAACGTTCTAGTGTGCTTTCATTTACAGAACGATGTCTCTCTGGTGAAATGTTACCATTTCTTTTCATTCCTGAGCTCAGGACAGAACATTTCCACACTGACACATTGCATACTTTTAACTTGCTGGCCAGTGCAGAGCTCTCCTCACTTTTCTTTTGTACATTGCTAAAATGCTGTCTACTGGCAGGTGATAAATATCAAATGTGTGTGTTCTTTAGTGAATTGACTTTAACCACTTGAGCTACTGAACATGTTACCCCCTATATGGCCAGGCCATTTTTTGCTGTTTTGCACTCAGCTGCTTTAACGGGTAATTGCATGCTCATGCAATGCTATACGCAAACAAAATTTTAATATTTTTTTTACACAAATAGAGCTTCCTTATGGTGGTATTTGATCACCACTGGGTTTTGTATTATTTTACGATATTAATGAGAAACACAACAAGTTTTGAAAAAAAAAAAAAAATCAGCATTTTCCAGTTTCTGCTATAAAACATATCCAATAAAAGAATTAAAAAAATAAAATTTCCTCCTAAATTTTGGTAAAAATTTATTCTGCTACATGTCTTTGGTATAAGAAAAATCCCAATAAGTGTATACTGATTGGTTTGTGTGAAAGTTATAGCGTCTACAAACTATGGTATAGTAACTGGAATTTTTCTTTATTCGTTTTTTATTTTAATGCTAGCAATGGCAGTTATCAGCAACTTACAGTTGGAATGCTGTAGTGTGATGGGCAGTCTAACACTAACTGACACTGGGGGGGAACTGACTAATTGCCAAGGGTACCTCCATTGACACTAATACAGTGATCAGTGCTAATATAATACACCGTCACTGTACTAATGACACTGGCTGGGAAGGGGTTAACATCTAGAGCGAGCAAGGGGTTAAATGTACCAAATTAAAAAAGAAAAAAGCGCCACTTACAAAAAACACCAAAGTGTCAGCAGCATATCCCACCCAAAATAAATTTTGGCAACAATAATCCAAATTAAAAAGGTATGCGCTAATAACAAACTTATACAAAAGTGTATATCATCATCCAAAAAACATTAGTGTTTTAAATAAATTATAGTGTCCAAACATAAATTAGTGTCCAAAAAAAAATATATATCTTCAGTGACTTGAACCAATTGTGAGAAATCCACCACCAAAGGAGATTAAATGAACTCACCAGAGCTAATGGCTGGTCAGATTATAAACCAGCAACAGCACTTGTGCTCTGGGAGCAATGAACCCCATGTCCAAATAGATATGGTGATGTTTCAGATACTTCCAGATAATAATAATCACAGCCAAACAACTTTGCAGCCCAAGCTCTTATGATTATTATTATTATTATTATTCAGTATTTATAAAGCGCCAATAGTTCGCTCAGCGCTGTACATTACAAAGGGGGACAGAACATGTGACAGAACAATACCAATACAATGCAAAACATGAGGGGATCGAGGGCCCTGCTCTTTCAAGCTTACAATCTAGGAGGGAGGGGATGGTGGCACAGGAGGAGATAGCTGTGGGGGATGGAGTGGTAGGAAGAGTGGAGGAGGTCGGCAAGTTAGCACGCTTTCTCATACCTCCATGAGAGCATGCAGTACACAAGGGGCTAAATGTGTGTCTAACATTGTTTAGTGTGCGTGTTTTGACTAAACAATGTGCTGGTTTTTACTCCCTGCTTTGCAGAAATAAAAAAGAAACACCACATTGCTGCTGTCTGAAGAGAGCTCTGTTTTGAACCATCACAGAGCCCTCTTCTGTCATTCTCTGAGCCAATCAGTGGGTTTTGGCTTTAAAACATTGGCCAAGACCCGCTGATCAGCTTGTGTTGCAGTGAATGACAGCATGGTCTTCCTGGTCCGGAAAAAGCTGTGATGTACAGGTACGTTATTGTGCCTGTACAAGCCGACCTGCCACAGTACAGCAGTAAGCAGTTAATGATTTATCTCTTTTTTTTGGCGGTATTCACCTCCCATTTAATATTTTGCTTTGATGGATTGACTACTATTATCTCCGATATTTATGAAAAATGGGTCACGTCATTTTCATGTCGCATGCGGTAACCTTTTGGTAAATTGACCCCAATACTCTTTAGCAAGAAACCAGAAAGGAACTGTGACAACTTGAGGAAAATACTGCCGATAACCAGCAAGTGTGTTTACATTGTGATCAGCGCCGGGTGGGGGCGCGCTTCTGGGAGGACGTCATATGATACCCTCCCAGAACTGGACGACCATGCTGTAGCCTTCATTCGGCTATAGCGCAGTCAACAAGTGGTTAATTGCAATTACTAAAAGAAAAAAAACATGTTACACTTACCTCCTGTGCACTGGTTTTGCAAAGAGCAATCCTGATCCTTTTCTTCTCAGGAACCCTGCCAGTGCTCCTGGCCCCTCCCTCCTGCTGGGGACACCCAAGCATGCTTGCTCCCGACACTCTGTTCTGCATTTCCATTCACACACAGAGCCTGAATCGCCCCCCCCCCCCTCCTCCTCACTCTCTCCTCATTGGCTCACTGGCTATGATTGACTGTAGCGGGAGCCAATGGCTCCCTCTGCAATGAGGAGGAAGAGACCTAGGAGAGCCGCTGCTCTCATGCACATTGCTGGATCGTGATGGGGCTCTGGTAAGTATTAGTGGGGGCTGCTGCACACAGAAGTTTTTTTTAATCTTTATTTGTAGAATGTATGAAGTTAAAAAACTTGAGCCTTTACAACCACTTTATTTTTTTTCTGTTGGTTGAAGTAGAAGTAGCCTTTTTTCAACCTAACTATATAACTGGACTGTCCTGAGCTCTGATCCCTGTGTTCTGTATTCGTTAAAACCTGCTGATCTTGCTACTGACCTGGCTACATCTGGAGCTTCTGTATGGATTTCCCCTTTCTGTTATGCCTGCTGCTCATCTGTGTTTGGAATTTTGACCACGATTCTGCTTCCAGACTTTGTATCTGCCTGACAGGACGTTGCGAACTTTTGACTATCCCCAACTTGGAACCTGTTTGCAATACTGTACTGATATGCTTGGTTGCTGCTGAACCCAGCTTGTGACCTTATTCCATATTTCCCCACCCTTCCAAGCTCACATTTACTTCTCCAGCTTCCTGGCCACCTTCCACTGCCCGAGCAGTCCCTGTCTCCACCACCAGGGCTGCTTGGAGGGGAATTGTGCATAAGACCACCCTCGTCATCTCGGACTCTACAGTCAGGTCTTTACTTCTACCCAATCTTGGAACTAATTCCTACTAGATATGTGCTGTTATTTTTGTTCCAAATCGAAATTCGGACTTACTTTTGTTATTTGGAGATTCAGATGTATCCAAAATTCCAAATTACAATAGAAACTAGTTTAAATTAATCTGAAATAATTTTAAAAAATCATCCAAAATAACAAATTATCTCAATTTGAATTGAATTTGAAAATGTATTCGAAATGTAAACATATTGCTGATTTCCTTCAAAAGACTGTGTATATTAGTGTACATAAAAGATACTGTTTTGAAACCAAAGGGTATTCAAATATTGATTTGATTTAGATTTTTCTTCTGCTCACTCACTGTGCATTAAATTGATATAAATAAACAAGTAAAATATATTTTTGAAAGCATGTGTATTTTACATTATTTCTTCACTCCTGCCTAAAACGTTTGCACTGTACAGTACATACAGTAGAGATATCGAAATGATGAAGTCTGATATTGCTTTTATAACTTAGAACACTTCACACATTTGGCATAAACCTTATTAATGATACAAAGAAGATCAACGTGTCAGAAATCAAATGGTCAATTTTTCTGGTGAATTAATAATTTTAGCATTATTTGTGTCCAGATCAACATATATGCCCTATAACCTGGGACCCTTCATTTTTTTTTATGTTACTTTCAATCTGTTTATTAAAGGTTTAAGGTTTAAGATGGTGCAATTTTCTTTTCTGCAACCATGGGTTACAGGAAAGAAAATTGCTCAATTCCCCCATCAACACAGTCAGTTGTGAAGGCAACCCATGCTTTTAATGACTATATTCAACATTATTGTTATGCATGTGTGTCTTAAAGTTTCCAAAAAGATTGTATCTTCAATTACGTGAGTTTCATGTTAATAATAGACTAGTACTTACATTTTTATACATCTCATAAAGTTGCCGCCATAATTTCCTATAGAAGAATTTGTTAATTTGGTGTTTCATGAATAGCATCAAGGTGTTTGGGGTCCAGCACATGTAGTTTCACAATTTGTATAGGTGATAACGATGATAAGGTGCCTATAATTTTTATGTAACATATTTTGTGGGGCTCATAATGGAGGCTTTCATGCTGTGAAAACTTTTTTTCATCTGATAAAATCACAAATATGTAAACAGTTTATAAACAAATGGTAGCTAAGTAAATTTCAGATGTTAGATTTGAATTTGAATCTATTCAACATTTTCAATTCAAATTAGAATACTTCAGAAAATTTGAAAACATTAGAAAATGAAGGAACAAAACGAATTGCCAAAATGAATCATCCAAATTTACTGAATGCAACAAAACAAAATTATTAACTTAACGAATTCATCCCAAACTAAACTAATTTTCTGCTTATGTCTATGGCCTACCCTTTGAGCTAAACCTTGTCACCATAGAAAAATACAACGCCAAGTAAAAAAAAGATATATACATGAGCACTACATGTGAAAAGCAAACCCCAAATGTATAAGTCTATAGCAGAGGGTATCCAAACTTTC